GTAACTGACTTTTTTTTTCCCAGAGTGCATTTATTCTCGCGTCAACTTTATTTCTGCGCATTTTTTAATTTTGTACACAATTAATCTGTTTTCCAATTTATTATCGAGTCAAAATTCGGGTGGGTTATTTTAACAATTGACCTCTGGCAATTCACTCATCTGCGTTAAAGTCTCGACACGGTTGCAACTGCGGGTTATTGTTCGGTGGATTTTACGACTTAATTTCTGGTTAGATACACACCCACTAATTAAGATGACTTCAACTCCCGACTTCGGCATAACCGAAGTTGTTTGCGAGTAAAGATTTTCTTGAAAACGGATCGCAGAGTAAATGGATATAAAGTAAATTGGAATAAAAATAAAATAATTATTTCTTAACAGATAAAAACGGACAAATAATTGTTTACCATAAATGTGACATTTCGTAAGATGAGAGCAAGAATTACATACCTTACATGTTTTATAAATAATCTATCGCCTTCAAGATTTTAAATCAGAACTTTCGGTTCTCGATGTTTTCGATGGAAAATTATGAAATTTTTGTTTTCAGTAGAATTGCAATACATTTTAATTTTCTTAGCGGAGAGACAGACCGAGATATCTTCGCGCGTATTGTCCATACTTGCGACTAACTCTCCCCAAGAATTGTTGCGCCGCGCCGCGATGAAAGAAAGTTTCTACAAGGATATTTCAATAATGCATCGATCCATCAGAAACCGATATTATTTCTTTTTTTCTCTCTCTCTTCGTTTCGCCAAGCACGCAAAAGCTTCGAGTCAAAGTCTTCACGGGGCTTTCTTTTACCGAACACTGAGGCGGTACCGTAGTGCATTAATCATGCAAAATAGTCTCCGCACTTATCGGAAGATGCAATATTCATGACGCATCGATTATTCTATAGACCCTGTGCTTAGTACGTAAATACGTCACGTGCGATGGTTGTAGTGAGGTTGAAAAAATTTTTTTGATGGAGACAAGCAGTACATCGTCGACCTTAGGCATGAACACTGTTAAACGTTCGGGATACGCAGGTTCGTTATTGCTTTCAATTCTCATCAGGACACATTTGCTTTATGGCTTTACTAGTTAATTGTTTTGTCTTGCGTATAATTGTGAGAAAGAAATTCGAGAGCCCATCAGGATTTAGCCTTAAATCACGTGATTTAAAACTCTGCATCCTGATCGGCTCTCGCAAGCAATCCAGCAGAGAAAATATCGTGTGCCGTTGGCTTTACACTGTACTATTACATTGTGATTGAAATCATAGAAATCATTCCGAAATTAATGAGTTTACACTTTGGTGATTAGACTATGAATGGGCGATAGAATTAAATCGCTATAGTTTGGAATTCATCGGTCTGTGGCCGAAAATGGAAGAAACGGCGCGAGAAAAAGTAATAGCTAACATACGAGTGTTTCTATTGATAATTATATTAACCTTTGTTTGCGTAATTCCCTGTATACATTCTCTGATAAGAGTTTGGGGCGATCTGATGTCGATGACGGACAATTTACAGTTCACTTTACCTTTAGTGTCGATGATAATGAAGCTCATCATCATGTGGAGCAAAAAAGCCGGTACATAAATCTCCCTTGTATCATAAATAAATTTGGCACGAAAGAGTGAATGTTCTTTAAAAATAACATTAAAACATAATTACACATAATTGTTATATAATAAATAGAAGTCTAACGTGCGAATTTTTGCGAAGCTTCTACGCAATAGAAATTATTTTTAAGTTTTGAAAGTAATTTTAAACTGCACAGTTTAATGGCATTATTTTTAATAAAAATTACAACTTTAAATATACATATAAGCTCAATGCACTAGAGATACATTTGAGACAAGGTCTTCTAATTATTTAATAATTTTGTAAAAATTGTGTCTATTTTAATGACAAGTAATTTTTATATATTGTTGAAAAATTATTGTGTTGTTATATTTGTTACATTTAATCGCTTACTTCTCTCGTTATAATTGATCTTTTAAGCCCTTGCACCGATCCTGTACATGATCGCTAAAGATTGGCTGAGATTGAAATCTGACGAAGAACGGAAGGTCATGATAAGATGTGCGCGGATCCCTCGCATGATCATAACCAGCGGATTCGTCATAATGTCCGCGTCGTTCACTTTATTGTTTATTCTTCCGTGGTTCGGGATCAGCATGAGATACATGACGAATGTGACGGATCCGGGCAAACCGTTGCCCCTGCAGTCATATTACTTCTACGACACAGATACGAGTCCGTACTTCGAGCTTACTTTCATCGCGCAAGCTGTCACTCTCATGGTATCTGCTATGGGTTACACCGCGATTGACAGTATGTTTGGATTGCTGATTTTCCATGTGTGCGGTCAGCTGGAGAATCTTAAGGGCCACTTAGCGACGGGCTCTGAAAAAAATCCAAATTTTGATCATGTCTTAGCGGACATTATAGTGGATCATGTACGCCTTATCAGGTTTCGTACATGATATGCATTCACTATCTTGATGAACATTTATCATTTTATATAACAATGATAATTATATCATAGCAAAGATCAAACGAAGTCATGCAACATAATAAATATATGTAGAAAAAAGTCGTCTATTACGAGATAGTAGGTTTTCAACGTCAAAATTCGGTCTCAATTTTTTTTGCGCAACGATTATACGATCTAACAATCGATTTTCCACTAAACAGATTTTACTCCAAGGGCAATGAATTCATGGTGGAGCCAATAGACGATGCCTATTTATTTAGCAGAAACTCCGCTACCTTATATTAGGAGCCTATCTCATAATAAGGAACGTTTCTCTACATATATTTCTAATAGAAAAATAGAAAAATTTTACTACTTCCGAAACATCTAATCTTATTATATTAAAAATTTATGTATATATATGTATATTTAAAGTAGAATACAAATTTTCATTTTGTACAATAAGTTTTAATACAAATTTTGTTTATTATAGATGTGTTAATATAATTGAAAGTACATTTAATTTGATGCTTTTTGGATTATTCCTCTACTTTGGAACATTATTTAGTCTATATGGATTTTTACTAGTTACCGTGAGTCAACAAATAGCTTAATTTTATTTTGCAGTCTCACAATAGAAACTTTTATTTATCAGTTTTGCTAATTTTATTTAATAATCTGTTAGTATTGTACAATATATTAGAACTACTCTTGGAAGTGTAAAAATTGAAATGAGTTACAACTGAAATCACGCTAATATTCATAAACTTGTCCATAAAACATTTCGATATTCAATTCATATGTCATTATTAGAAAGTTCATATATGTGTACCATGGATCAATTTAGCTTTGTTCCTAAGATATGAGCACTTTGTTGTACAAGGCACTCTCTGATTCCGCGTAGATTGTAATAATTGTTTGATTTATTGATTTGAAATCATAGTAACATTACCAACACTATATTGACACAGTATAGAATGCTCTCCTGTTCACAGACATTAAATTCTTCACCACAGTGGTGTAAATATGTTATGACCCCCCAGCGAGAAATGACTCGTCGATCGATGTTGAAACGATGTCGAATCGATATAAATGTGACAGTTTCGATATCGATCGACGAGTCATTTCTGACTGGATAGAATGACCATCCGAATACTGGCATACGTGTTTCAGTTTCGTGACGAAACGGCCTGTGTACTGACGTTTCTAAATAATATCTAAATATGCACAAATAAAACAAATACTAATAAGTAAATATTAATGCCTAAAACCACATTGCATTCAACATACACCACTTATGATAGTTTATATTTTTCTAACGTATCTTCCTTATATTAATTAATAATTTAGGTTATTACCGATGGACGTCATATATCGCTTCTAAGACTAATAAGCCTTTTAACAGTTATCGCTAATATTTTTGCACACATGTGCTTATATTGCGTGGTTGGAGAATATCTAATAACGCACGTAAGTTGTTTTAGCAAATACTGCATTTTGATACATACTATCATTTGAAAAGCTTTAGAAGTGTTGAATTGTGTATACATAATTTCTTAAAATTAATTTTTGTACGAGACGTTTTCTCAAAATCTAATACAATTATATCGTATTATAGTGCGAAGGGATCTACAAAGCTGCATGTGAATATCGTTGGTACGAATTGGAACCAAAGCAAGCTAGAAACCTAATGCTATTGATGACTCGCGCAAATAAGCCACTTTACGTAACTGTTGGAAAAATCTTTCCTCTAACGATGAATGCCTTCTGCAGCGTAAATAAATATTTAATTATAAAGCTTCTCTTATGAAATATCATTTATTTCATAAAGGAACTACAATTTAATATTTACGTCTTTAAAAATATTACATTATATGGTACAATTTTTTAAAGATAGTTTTGTTTCTTTCAGCTACTAAAAACATCAGGCGGTTATGTATCGGTTTTGCTTGCACGACGTGATTAATGCGTATCATTGAATTGCATTAATAATAATAATGATAAGGACAATACAAATATCATGGATATTGACAAAATGCTGAACTGGATGTTATTTGAACTACGTTTATATATTTTAATTTCAGATGAATTGTAAAAAATTACAACTCACAGTTTTCAAACATATTTTAGAATATGTGGGGGATTC